ATTATATTATATATTATATATTATATATTATATATTATATATTATATATTATATCCAGATTCCTTAAGTAAAATCTCAATACTCCCTTTGTTGAAGAAAAGCACTGCTTTGGAAATGGCTCCTGTACTCTCCTTACCTGCCACAGGAAAAAAACTTTCTCAGTTGTTCTACCTTGTCTGTTGGCTAGCTACTCTTGGCATTCAAATTGAACACGTGTGGAATTAACTAATACCCAATGAGTTTGGGTATTATGAGGGATTTTACTTCATTATAGCTTTAGATCTCAGAAGACTATTTTTAATCTGGGAGTTTGGGGATGATAAGATCAACCTTTAATTTTAATCTAGGACATGGCTTGTGGTAACAGCCTACATATATAAAGAACATTGAAGATGGTAGATCTTTTTCTTTGTCCTATTGCCCTAACTCTGCCTAGTGAATTTTTTGTTGTCATTTGTCAGGTTGTTTGTTTGCTTGTTTTTCGTATTTTTTTATTGGCATTAGAGCCAATTTTTCAAAATTTATGTATGAACTGAAAACCAGTCCAGAAATCCAGCCACATGGACTGAACCACTATTTCATTCTACATCCTTTCATTGGTAGACTACCATTGTTGGACTAGTTGAACTGCAGCCTGTGAGCCATTTAACAGAATGACATGAGCCGAAAGGTAGGTGCTCTGAAACAAGACCATATAAAATTACAAATGATCTGAAAGTATATCAGAAACAACCACACTAATCTTTAATCAACTGTTGCTAGGAAGTAGTTAGGGAGTAACTCTGACCAAGGAGAAGCTGTGAGGTCCTTTCTGGTATGTGAGTATAGCTTGTGTTCAACTGCAGCTCAAGTTCTCAGGATTTTCTTTTCTTTAAGATAGAGGCCAGTTCCAAGATGGTGTACGTTTGGCCACTCAATCCTCCAGAGTTAATGTGTTTCAAGAATCATGGATCCCAAAATAACAGTACTGTTTTACAGATGTGTGCAGCTTATAAGAAATGGAGCCTCCTTTGAGAAATGTATTGCTGTCAAGTACTGAAGTTTAATAGCCATTTTATGTTTCTATTTGCTGACTAATTCTTGACCTCTTGCCCAGTTATCAAACTAGATTCCCAACATTGTCCTCAAAGTTGCCTACCATAATGGAATATTTCCCCTGAATATATAAACTACTAGAATATACTTTCATTCTTTATATTACATGTTGCAATAGACTGTTTTGTTTGTTTGTTTGGTTGGTTGGTTGGTTGTTTGTTTGTTTGGTTGGTTGGTTGGTTTTTTGAGACAGGGTTTCTTTGTGAAGTTCTGGCTGTCCTGGAACTCACTCTGTAGACCAGGCTGGCCTCAAACTCAGAAATCTGCCTGTCTCTGCCTCCCAAGTGCTGGGATTAAAGGCATTTACCACCAATGCCCAGCCGCAACTGACTGTTAAAGACAGTAATCACCAAACAATCTTTTGATATTCCCTTTAGGACAGAGAGCCTGGTACACCATGGACTTGGTGGGGACAGAATGGCATGCTTCCTTCCCCTAGAACAGGACAGTGGATGTGGGCCTTCAAGAGAGTCAAAGACAGCTATGAGCATAAAGCTTGTTTGCAAACTAATGTACGTAATATTTTGCATTTCTCCTTTAAGGAATGTTCTCCCTGTCAGCGTTAATGACTCCATGTGGATCAGAGACAGTACAAGCCCTAGAGGCAAAAGTGTGGCTAATATCTCAGCAAAATAGTAAATGCTGCAACCTTCAGGACAGCCCTTAAAGCTCTGGAAAAGACCTGTAAAAACATGGGTTCAAAATTTTTTTCTCAATTAATAATGATGTAATATAAATTATGAGGAACTTGAGGAATATATAGGAACAAAAGGAGGTGTGTTGTAAGTCAACTTCTCAGAAAGATACTAAGGAAGGAGATAAAGGGATGTGTGGAGCTCTTCTGGGCCCAGGTGCAGTTCAAAACTTGGGTTACCATGCAGACATGGCCAAGTCCGAGAATCAGACCACACACAACCAGTCCAACAAATGACACAGAAATTACATCAAGAAACCCCGGTCACAAAGATATGAATCTCTAAAGGTGGTTGACCTTAAGTTCCTGAGGAACATATACTTTGCCAAGAAGCACAACAAGAAAGGCCTGAAGAAGATGCAGGCCAACAATGCAAAGGCAGTGAGTGCCAATGCAGAAGCCATCAAGGCCCTTGTGAAGCCTCAGGCCATCCAGTCCAAGACCTCAAAAGGTCCCAGCTACAAACTCAGCCATCTGGCTCTCATTGCTCACCTCGGTCTCTAGCAGGAAATAGACAGACAGCTGTCTAGAGATCGCCGGAGAAAACAGATCAGAGAGAAAGCAGATCATAGGGAAAGCTGCCTGGAACACTGTCTCCACAGAGCATAGATGGATAGCTTGAACTGACAATGTGACTGCCAGTCCTTTGTTTTTCTGCCCCCAAATGCATCTTCTTTCTCTTCCCCCCTCCAAGTCCAGGCGTGGTCCTTGGCAACAGAGGTATACTTTGATATCACTAATTTTTAAATCTAGAAGTCAGCACTTACAGAAGATGTCTTATTTATGTAACCATCCAAGTCAATGCCAGGTACCAGCTTATACCCAACTATCTGATAGAAGTGTGACTAGTGAACTGCCATTGGAGTGCTAGGAAATGAGAAGGGATTGAACAGTGCTCTTAACAACTGAGTGATCCCTGTAGCCCTCTCACCCACTTTCAATAAAATAAAAGAGAATACTAGACATAACAGACTTGAGGTACAAAGACCAGCTTTGAGAAAAGCTGCAGGAAGACAGTGGAGTTTCTGGAAACTGTGTGTGCTTCAGGTGACAGAGCAGAAAGAGTGGGAATACCTAAGACCTTGTGGTTAAGGCAATTTCATCATAATCTCAAGATGCTGAACAAGAACTTTTGTTCAAGTAGTTTTGATATTATCCCTGTTGAATTTTGTCCTCGTTTGGTCTTTTCATTCTTTACAATACTGTGATTTTTTTTCTGGAAAGGATTGTTTCATTTTTAACATTGAAGGTTGAAAACATAAGAGCCTCTCTTAAGGATATGGTACAGTGAAATCAGATAAAAAGTTGTTTTCACTTTTAGGAAACATGTGGAAGTGAAATGAGAATGGCACCCATAGACACATATGTTCAAATACATATTTCCTAGTTTGTGGAATTATTTGGGAAGCAGCACAGGTGTGACCTTTTTGGAAGAGGTGTGACACAAGGGTGCATTTTCAGGCTTTAATATCTTCTGACCATGCCCATATTGCTAACTCCCTCTTATCTGAAGTTCAAAATATGAGCTCTCAGCTGTCCCTTGATTTTCAGCTAAGATCTTGTAATACAAGATGAACTTTCCATATGCATTTCTGTCCACCATTTTTACTATTTACATATATTTCTGGATGACTTTGAGGTAAGAATACCCTTAAATATCTCAGCTTTTACATTTGATCATGTTCAGAAAAGGATTGAACTTAACATTCATAGGAGTAGGCAAACCTATGTGTAAATGTATCTAGAATACCTCAGTAACATTTCACTGCTCCCTTTCTTGAAGAAAGGCATTGCTTTGGAAATGGCTCCTATGCTCTCCTTACCTGATACAGGAAAAAAATCTTTCTCAGCTTTTCTGTGTTGTCTATTGTGTTAGATACTCTTGGTACTCAAATGGAACAAATCTGGAATTAAATAAAACTCAAAGAGTTGGGTACTGTGCAGGATTTTTTGTAATTAAAGTTTTCAAACTGGGAAAGTATTTTTAACTTGTGTCATTTGGGGTATTAAGATCCACCTTTCACCTAGGCCACTCTTCATGGTGACAGCCTACATATGTAAAGGACTTTGAAGATGGTAGCTCTTTCTCTTTGTCTTATTCCCTACCTCTGGTTACCAACTTTTTGTTGTGGTTGTTGTTTTTATTGTTTATTTATTTTATTTTCCGACAATAGCGCTTATCTTACAAATTAAGGTGTATATTGAAGACCAGCTCAGAAATCCAGCCACATGGACTGAACCACTATTGGATTCTTAACCTTTCCATTTGTAGACAGCCATTGTTAGACTAGTTGAACCGCAGCCTTTGAGACACCTAATAAATGCATTTTCTACATAACAGAGACTAATTCTATCAGCTCTAGTCATCTGGAGAAACTTTACTATATATAATATAGCTGTGGATTTGTTGTTGTTGCTGTACTCATTTTACAGACTCTCTGAGCACTTTCAGCTGATTAACAAGAGTGCTCCAAGGTGTCTGTCACTTATTTTTAATATTCTTGCCACCTGTCCACATGTGGGACAGATTAGTAACTCCACTGTAATCTGATTTATTGACTGTGAGAATCATCCATTGTGAATCCAGCAGGATGAAGTGGAAGGACCTCCTGAGTGCTCTGATGGGAGTTCAGGAAAGCTCTACATTTGCAAAGCAATGAACACGGTGTCACTGCCCACATGGGTAGAAGCAGGCAGTTGAGAAGCAGGGGTGTGAAATCTTATTTTCTCCCTGGAACTGGATGGCAGGACAAATAAGCTATTGGAGGAGAGGCACTTGTGCTACAGAACTTCAGATCTAAAGATCTGTGAACTGCTTGGCCAAAGCTGGAAACACTATGCTATGTCTCTTTAAGACACTCTAACCCTAAGACTGGTGATTATGTCACTCAAGTCTCGCTAGCCAATCAGAACCTCCACATGGACCACAAGTCAGAAAAGGAGGCGGCACTTCCGGGTAACAAGCCCGCGACTTTTTTCCTGTAACTCAGCCGGCATGAGTGTTTCTGGGTGAAACATTCTGAGTGTGTCTGCTGGGTGCTGTGAGGGGAGCTCGGCAACGTCAGAACTCCAGACATGGTAAGTGCAAGGCCATCTCCCACGAACGGGAGGCGGAAACTGCTTAGCAAAGTACAAATGCGTAGTGGGTCTTCCCAGTGTCTGGATGGTAAACAGCAGCCAGACACATGCAGCCTTTTGTACCCGGCTTTGTACCTGGCTGTGGCCTCTGAATAACTTTATTATGGGAGCATCTGCACAAAACCATTGCAGCAGTGGCTTGTGTGTAGAAATGTACTTGGCATGATGCCAAACGTTAGAGCCCTGTTTCTCTATTCTCTAAGTTCTGCTCTTAACGGTTAACTTTGTAGGTGTAAGTTCCACTTGGAGTTGGTGTTGTGATGGCTGTAAAACGAAATCTCGTGTGTGGGGTATCACTCCAGTATTCAGCTGTGATGTACAAGTGTAGAACTGATGATATAAAGAATTACTAACATTTAGGAAATATTAAGTGACACTTAGAATTTATCTGAGGTAGGACTGCCTGTAAAACACCTGACAACAAAGTAGTATGCTAAAACTGCAGTCCTGTTAAAAATCAGTACTGTAGTATACTTGTTTGCTTACCAAGATTTTCCAGACATTAGTCTCCAAACCTTAACAAAGGGGACAAGTCTGATTTACAGTCAGCCATTAGGCTCATGCTGATATCAAAGAACAGGCTGCTAACAAGATGCTCAATGTGGCTTTATAGGGTCACAGCCAACATTAAGGCCTGGTGTACCATAAAGATCCAGTTTTCTTGGGAAAAGCATAGTTTTGCCATAAGGGCAGGACTATACCTGGTGACATCTCTTTCAAAAGGACAACACTGTGTGTTGTGGGCTGGTCCAATCTAATAAGGCTTGATCCTAATGTATGGAGAATTGCATATCTCCTTCCTAAATTCTAGCCCCTTAACAGCCTGGAGCCTTAAGCTTTAGGAGCTTTACCTGAGGCCCTGGTGTACTGAATAGAAAACAGTGCTCTTTCTCCTAAGCCAGGGTTAGGGCTGGCAGAGGTGATAAAGCTAGGAGGCCAGGGCATTTGGGGAGGAGAAACTTCAGATCCTGAGATTCCAACTCTGTCCAGCATAGGATGATATGGTTATCAGTCCCAAGTCAACTGTGGGCTTGGTCAGTCATGGATTCCCTTGTGCAGCATTGTTTTATTACACTTCTCCTGAATTTGTCCCAGTGTATGATAGTTACTGCTGCCTTCATAGAAGTCTCCATTTCGTTCCCTTTATCCCCTGTAAGTAATATACAAGATGTTAGTTTTAAGAAACTTACTTGACATAGACATAGCTTGTGCAAGTTCTCCCCACCACAGCTGTTGTACATTCTACCTTCTACGTTTCCTGTCTTTCTCATCTTCACTTCCAACTCAGGAACCCATCACTGAAAACTGACCTGCTGTTTCAGGGCTCTGATGCACTTAATCAATGATTCTGGGGATCTTTGCTGTGTAAATCTCATAGCTGTCTTAAATAGGACTTACAATCTCTAGTCCATATTGATATTGTTCAAAATAACTGGGGCTTGAACCAGAAGCAAATTTATGGATGTCAGTATCCAAAACCTGTTTTTGGTTGACTCCTCTTTGAGAATTAGTCAGGGCTGAATCCATGCTGTCATTTAGGAGATTTTCTATAATTAATGTTTTAATGTTGTATGTGGAGTTATTTCTTTCTGGGATGATATAGTAATTCTGGGAGAGCTGCATCTTCTTCCTTTTATAGAGATGTTTCTAAGACAAGCTCTGTTGACTCAGATAACCTTGATCTCTGTTGCTCTCCAGGGCAATACCCTTGCTTTTTGCTTGATGAAAATTCATAAATTCTTGAATTAAAAGAATGCAGCACAACAACAATTTAAATTTGCTCATTTGAATCATATAATGAACTGTCCATTTCTTCCATCTTCAGATGAGAACAGGAGGAATGGTTTACTTTATTTACTGTCAGGTGAAACAGGGCAGGCAATAGCTAGATCACAGACTAAAGTTATGAGAGTCAGCTGCAGGTGTCAGTATTCTGGAGTAGGACCAGATTCAGATAGGATGAATAATTTCATAATTTCACAATGTACATTTAATATTACATGTGTTTAAATTAAACTAGATTGGTGGGTGTTTAATTTGGACAGCTTATCTTGAGCCAGTGGAAAATGAATTTTGTTTTTCGGATAGGTAGTATATAGATATGAGCAATCCTAGCTGACATATTTATGTTGGTTCAGAAATTTAAAACACATGCCATTAGATGTAGCTGTGTGTCATGTTATAGATCTCAGCAGTTAACACTGCACATAGGGGCAAGGACAAACACCATCTTATTAATGTCATTACCTCTACTAGGAAGGGTCTCCTCTTTTTTGAAGTCAGTATACCAATATGTTTTTTCATTTATATTTTTCTTTTGAAAAGTCAATTTTTATTTTGATTTTTCAAAACAGTGTTTCTCTGTGTAGCCCTGGCTGTCCTGGAACTCACTCTGTAGACCAGGCTGGCCTTGAACTCAGAAATCAACCTGTCTCTGCCTCCCAAGTGCTGGGATTAAAGGCGTGCGCCACCACTGCCTGGCGTCAATTTTTGTTATTAGTCTTTAAATTTCATTTTCTTTATTCATAGGTGCTCTGATCTCTTACTTGTTTCTGTTATCCATTGTTTCCCAGGAATTAAGAATCTCATTTTTTTTTTTAAAGAGATTTCATATCTGTCTGTTTAAAGAAACATCTCCTGTAGCTCAGGCTTTCCTATGCCATGTAGTTAGGACTTCCTTTGAACACTTGAACCTTCCTCTGCTGCCCAATGCTTGGAAAACTGTCCTACAACTCCTTTCAGTCTGGCTTGTGATTAATCAGTGAGACTAAAACACCAGAGAATGAGTGTTGTCAAACCTCCCCGGATTAGGGGTGAGGAGATTACAAATAAAGAGAGACCTATATAAGAATTGAGTTCATAGCCGGGTGGTGGTGGCACATGTCTTTAATCCCAGGACTTGGGAGGCAGAGGCAGGTGGATTTCTGAGTTCGAGGCCAGCCTGGTCTACAGAGTGAGTTCCAGGACAGCCAGAACTATATAGAGAAACCCTGTCTCGAAAAAACAACAACAAAAAAAAAACCAAACAAACAAACAAACAAACAAACAAAAAGAATTGAGTTCACTGACCAAAGATGAAGCTGGTATAATTACTACACAGAAAAGGAGGAGGAAGAAGGAAGGTGAGGCTACTTTGCTTTTGCAGTACTTGGCTTTAACCATGAGTAGTCACGTAATCAATTTTAGACAGTGCGTTATTTTCTATACTGGCCATCTTGATTTCTCAGATTAGGAAAATGAGGAATCTAAATGAGGAACAGAACTTATATCTAGAAACCAACTTTCTGTATTTTCACTAGTTCAAACAAAAGAAGATCGAGACCAACTCATGTGACTGTGCCTAACAGGAATGTTATTATTCCTGTGTGAACATACACAGTGTAAGAGAAAAGATGTGAGTGCTACTTGGTACTCTCTAGTACATATGTTTAGTTTCTCAAAAATATTGGACCATAAAGTGTACTTTAACTCTTAAAAATAAACTTTGAGAGTATAATCATCATTTCTTCCTTCTGCTTTCTCCCTGGTGTTAAGTCTGAAACTCTGGGACAAGGAGCTGAGGGGCATATTTAGCAAATCAAAGCAAACCTGGCTGTCTGGTTCTCTCATCAGACCACAGTCCTTTCCTGTTACAGAGTATTGATTGCATACCTCACCCTCTAGCCCAAGAGTAGGACTGCCAGTCTCCCTGCTGCCATTCCTTATGCCATCCAACCATTGTGGATTGGTATTTTTCATTCTGATCTCTTGGTCTGACTTTTCATTCTCCCATCCTACCTCTCCACAAGGTTCAGTGTCAAGTCTACTCTAAACTATCCCAGATATAATTGGGTCTGCCTATGTTCTCTCTTTTGTAGAGAGAATAAATTTTCTACTCCACCACACCTAGGAGCAGTGATGTCCTATAATTGCTGCTGCTGCTGCTGCTGCTTCTGCTTCTCCTTCTCCTTCTCCTTCTCCTTCTCCTTCTCCTTCTCCTTCT